TAATTTGCCGCATCTTGGATTTCTTTAACATATGAAGATTGATCCTCATGGAACTTGTCCCTAGAAGAGGAGATAATGTCACGGATATATACATGTAAATTAATAATTATCTACATGATTTAGATAATAGTAAGTAAAAGTAAATTAATTCCATAATATCTTCTATAGAATCTTCTTAAAAGCTTCATAGACACTGCTTTGACTTTATATGTGTCTTTAATTAATTTTTTAGATTAAAAACGTGGTCAATAAATTAGCCATGTGCCACATATGTTAGTAGCTTAAAGTATAAGCTAACTGTGTGGCCCACATATAGAAAACTTATATTGTAAGCTAAAGCATGTATTTTGCAAAGTCAATATATATTAGAGGTCTTATAAAACATCGCCACGTAGCTCTCAGTTAGATAATATATATAGAGGTAAGAATGAAGCCCTCTTTAGTCTTGTCAACTCTTTTCTTGCTTCTAGTCTAGATTTAAGAGTCTCTAGTTTCTTTATCTTTTGGCAATAGCCATTCTAGTTTTCTTTTAATATACAAATTATTTTATTGCTATTTTATCAATTTTCTTTCAATATAGGTTTTTCAGGTTTTTGCATCTTCTTCCAGTTCATATCCTTGACACTTTTTATTATTGTGTTTTAAAAATTGCAAACTATTCACCTTCAAATAATATTTTTTGATTTTTAATATTATTTTTTTTAAAATAAAAATAAAATACTTCTCTTTGTAAAAATATGTTTTTGATAATAGAGGTTGGAGATTATCCTATTCTAATTCGACTTTTAGATTTATTAAAATCCTTTAATATAGAAGTGGAAAGAAAAAAAATATGAATACTTTATTTAATAAAAGAATAGATAATAATTATTACAAATCTTCATAAGCTTTTTAATATTCTTAGGAATTTCTTTTTACATATTATCAATATCAATTATATAAACACTATTCTTATGTCTATAAAAGAAATAAATAATGAATTCTAATGTCTACACAAAAAAATTATACACATTAAGGAAATAAATAAATCAACCTCACAAGTGAATTCAATTTTTTTTGCTATTAAAAATATAAAGAACACAAATATTAGTATATGAAAGAAGTTTAATGGAACAAGATCAAAATTTTGAAGATTTATACAATAATTCAAGTTCTATTTAAGATTACATTCTTCTTAATATTTAGAAAGATTTATTCAAATTGAAATTAAAATTATATTTTTATTTAGAAGTATTCCCATTTGAATTGCATATGTGATTAAAAAAATTCATAATTTATATATAATCTTAAATCATTCTTGAAAGTGTTTACATTTAGAGAAATAAATTAAGAAAAGATAAAAAAACAAAACTCTAGTCTTTACAACAAAGATCACAATCAACTACCATCTATACTACCATATTTCAAAAACTTTCTTATATTGTATATTAAAATAATAAAGCCCTTATCAATTAATTTTGATATAGATTAAAAGATAATGTTATAAATTTATTATTAATAATGTAAAAATAAGACTTATTAGAATTATTTATTACTTAAGCTATTCCATATGACAATCAACTCTTTTAAAGGCCTCAAGAACAAAATTATGATTAAAGAAGAACAAATTAAATTATGACAACAATCCTTAAGTTTTTAGAAACTTATTCATTAACATCAAAATATATGCAAATTGATACAACTCAATTCAAATGATTGACATATAAAAAATAAAAAATATTATGTTTATATTATAAGATAATAATATAAAAGATATAAAATCTTTATATCAATTTAATAAGATTTAAAGCAAATAATATAAATTTAAACTTAAAAGATTAAAAAATAAAGACATTCAATTGAAATAAAAACCTTATGGTTTAACAACTTTAGATCCCATATATTGTTTTAAACTTTCTAAGATTATTATAACTTCAAATAATAAATTTTTAGCTCAAATAATTTTAAATATTAAAGACTTAGTAAATTTTACAAATAAAGACTTTGTATTACAACAAAAATTGTTACTTTTAAAGAAGATTCAACTAATCCCAATAGAAATTATTGATGGACAATCACTTGCATTTGAATATATATAGAAGAAATCAAACCATCAAAAGTAGAATCAAGAGATCAAATATCTAACATTGTCTTTAATATTATTCAATGTTCTTAAAATTGAATAATATTTGGCCTTGCTTGTTTTAAATTACATAATCTAAATGTTGATAAAAAAACCACAAAAAGTCACTTCAAGAGTTAGTTTTTATGACAACAAACTAGCTTAAACTTTATTTGTGGCAACTAGGAGATTTATGCAAGCTATTAAAGATAAGAATAAATTTGTTATTTTTGTAATACAAAGTGTTCATTCAAATAAAGATTGCAATAGAATTTGAAGTAGTATAAAGAATAACAAGATGTATTTGAAGATAAGAATATTGTTGTATTATCAAAATATCAATCTTATAATTATGCAATTAATCTTTAAGAAGGGACTTAATTACTATTTGGATAAAATTACAACTTGCTGCAAAATGAACTTGATACTTTCAAAGAATACATTAATAAAAATCTTACAAAGAATTCTGTTCAACATTCAAAATTTCTTACAAGTGTGCCAATTCTTTTTGTAAAAAAAAAAGATGGATCCTTTTGAATGTGTATAGATTATTCTAAATTTAAAAAATTGACCATCAATAATTATTGTTATTTTTTGTCTTTATTATTGAAATTCTTTGATTAATAAAATGAAGCTAAAATCTACAATAAAATATATTTACAAAGTTCCTATAATTTAGTACATATTAAAGAAGAAGTAAATAAAAGATTCTATTTTTTATTTGATATGGAAATTTCAAATACAATATTATATCTTAAGAATTTACAAATACTCCAATTGATTTCTATTATTTGATTAGAAATATATTTCATAAATATTTAGATGATTTTATTACATTCTATTTAGATAATATTCTTATATATTTCAAGAATAAAGAAGAATATAAATAATATGTTTGTCTTGTATTACAAGAATTTAGAGATTTAAGTTTATATACCTAGATAAAAAAATATATTTTTTACACAATTTAAGTAGGATTTTTGGCATACATCATTTCAAATAACAATTTGCAAATAAATTCTAAAAAGATGAAAACTATCATAGATTGAAAACTTCTAAAAATTATATATGATATCCACTTATTTTAGATTTATAAACCATTATTGAATATTTATCAAAAAAAATTCTTAAGTTGTTTCACTTACTCAATTAAGTTTTAAAAAGAAATTACAATAAAGTAAAGATATAGAAGCAATATTCTAAGGTTTAAAAATGGCCGTTACTTCAACATCTATTTTATTTTGTTATGATTTCTCAAAGCCATTTTTTATATAAAATAATGTATTAAACTTGGTATCAGATGAAGATAATAAATTCTATTCTATTATTTTTTATTCAAGAATATTTCCAAAAATACAAATTAATTATAAGATCCACAATAAAAAGAACTTTTTACTATTATGGATTTATTCCAAAAATGGCACCACTACCTAAAGGATGCTTTTCATTCTATTACTTTTTATATTAATAAAAATAATCTTGAGTATTTAATGTCATCACATATTTCAAATTATTATGAAGCTTGTTGGAGCATGTTCTTTTTATAATTTGTATCTAATATTATATATTGTTTTAGAAAACAATGACTTCTCAAATGTCTTGTTTAGATGTTCTTATCTTAATCCAAAAGAAGAAGATACAACATATAATCAACAACAAAGTATTTTTTTGAAACTTGACCAATTATACCTTTAAGTTATTTATTAACAAACTTGAACAAAATTTATTGAAAAAAGTAATATCAATTAAAATTTGTTTTATATTTCTAAAGTTGAAGCATGATTATGTGCATTACAAGCAAACTTAGCACAAGCCAACTTTCTAACAACATATAACATTTGATATAAGAAAATGTTGGAACTTATTTCAAGAGATTTTTGATGGCTTCAAATGTTAAAAGAAGAAAAAACATTTGTTCAATCATGTTACGTTTGTTCTAAAGCAAAGACTATATGTCATCAATCTTATGAACTTTTTCAATCTCTACTTATTTCAAAGCAATCCTAGTCATTTGTTTTAATAGATTTTATTTTAGATCTTTTTATTTCAAATTTTTATAATTCTATGTTTATAATGTTAGATTTTTTATTTTATTTTACTTTCTTTCTTTCAAAATAGTGTATTTTATACTATATTCAAAAATAATTACTTGTGAAGAAACAACTAACTTGTTTTTAAATAATACTAATATCATTCACCTTCAAGTGATATTATAATTGATCAAAAGCCTTAATTCATATCAAACTTCAACTTTTCATCTTCAAATCAATGAACAAATGGAACATGTGAATCAAGCTTTGGAATAGTATTTGTGATATATTATCAACTACTACCAAATCAATTGGACAATTTTCTTACCATTTGCAAAGCTTTTATATAATAATATTGGTCATTCTTTGATTTAAGAAACTCCATTTTTTTTTGGTTATAAATAACTTTTATGATTTGATACATTTGATTTTTTAAGAGTTCAAAATCTAATAATAAAAGATTTGATAAGTAGAATGAAATAACTTCAGACAATAATGAAGATACAAATAAAAGACACTCAAGAATATTAAAAAACTGATGTAGATGTTTTTAGAAAAGAACAATCTAAATTCAAAGTTGGTAACAAAACATGATTACTTTGTTGTGATATCAAGACTAATCACCTTTAAAACAAAGAAAATAATTGAAGACTTGGCCCATTTCTTCTCAAAAAATTGGAATACCATTTGTTTGATTCAATTACCACCACACTTGAAAGAGCCTACAGAAAGAATTGAAAAGAATTGAAGGAATGAACAGAGGCTCCTTCAAATGAAATCCGAGGGTGGCGGTTTTCATACCACTCCGACATTGTTTTCTACGGTAATAGGCTACTCAAATCCATGATGAGCGAATGCATCGAGCAAAATTCAGGATTACAGTACTCCTCAGGATTAAATAATACTTTGATATGCATCAGCAAGAGTGGGAGTCGTAACGATTTAAACAAATCAGCCATTGTCAAAATTGTCCCGACAGTCAGCAGCTTGTTTCAAGCACTTGACGGGCAACACAAGGTAGATCACCAAGACTAAGGACTAAACTGCATTCTTCTGCACATTATACATAACAACCATTCGCAGCCACCTTAAAGCGTTATCTACTTAAAGATCAAGTTCTAGTGCACGGCGCAGAATCTGCAACCATGGATATATCTGCTTGCTACATCACTCATAAAATCCTGTCGCCGCGTTGCAGACTTAAAATGTGCGCTGTGTTTGTTTAAAAGCTGTTACATGACGACTGTCCCGCTCCTGAAGGACATGGTTGATACAATAAACTGTCTTAGTCAAGGACCAACACAGTGAATTAGAGCTCATCAGATATTAATATCATCCAAAGCGTATTAAAGTTCACAAATTCTTGTTTGATGAAAAATTCCACGCAGTTGTATCTCCGTCAGAAGAATATGGTCCAACCTTGCACAGGCGGGTAACACAAAAGTAGCATATTCAAATTCGGCATCAAGAATTATGCTAATTCACATGTACTATTCATGCTCTTATTTTCAAAACGATATAAAACAGATTACCTCATAACAAGGAATTAATTTCAATAACTTCAACAACCATGCATGGTATAAAGGAACATAATTGGACAAAATTAGGTGAATCCAACATGACGAGGAGTACAGTATTGACGGTCTCACCTATGTTGCAAACTATACGCAGCTTCAACAGACAGTTTTTAGTCCTGCCTTCAATGGTCTTTGTGTCTTCTTTTGATCGGAAGTTGGACATCCATGAAATTCCGCCCAACGGCTCGCTGTGATGCAGCTGGCGATTTTAGAGCAGTGGGAACTAATTTCTGTGAAGGTGAAGATTCTTCGTTCACACGTGGTTCTATCAGTGGAGAATTTCTCTTTGAACCGGTTGTCAAGGTCTCTAACACAGCATTGGCTTTCACATTAGAGATTTTGACATTTCGTGATTCCTTAATCACATCAGTTGTGATAGAAATCTGATGCACTGCGGTAGGTTCAACTTCAACTGCAGCCCGCTGTACGTCGGATACAGCTGCCTCCTTCACATCGACAACCTTAGCAACCAGTTTTGATTCCGTCCCTGCTACAGGTTTATGCGAAGCTACTGACTTTTTTCCGATGTCGAGCTGGGTCACTAGATTATCATGTGCCCCGACGTTCGACATAGGCTCTTTTTTCACATCATTTGGTGAAACGTTCTGTGCAGGGAACGTACCAGGATTAACTGAATACTGTTGTCCTACCTGATTCACTGGTATTACATGGTGGTACTGGGGAATTTGAGGAACTTGGGGACCTTGGGACATCTGGTGCACTTGTGGTATCTGATGCATGTACGGTACCTGGTGCACTTGATTCAATTGTACTGGTTCAGGAATTTGCCCTACGCACTGCTTCACTCTCGTGGCAAGGGGCTCCTCAACTACCACAGGATGTAGCCTACCTTTTCTCTTACGCTTTTGTTGAGCTTTGACAAAATTTGCAACCTGCAAAAGGCATCAGGTCATGAATACTGGAAGTGTTGACCAGGTCAGACTTTGATTCGAGTATCATGAAAAAGTAGCCTGCGGATTGACTATCAGATACCAAGCGACCCAAGTGCTAAACTTGGCTTCGTATATTACGCATTCAAACAATCTATAAACAACAGTTGAGAAGCTGCGGCTATGGATTGGGAAGGGTCGCCCAGTATGGGACCAAGAGATACCATACACAAACAGATTAATGCGCATATATGTGCACAAGATGTTCTGATTGCAACCCAAATTCAGCTGGTAGCGCAAAAGTCTGTAGACTATAATGACTGAAATCAAATGGCAACGTGTGAAAGAGACTCCTTACAAGACCAGGTTGATCCACTGGAGATACAGCAATATGAGGCTCAGCTGAAGCAAAACCCACGTTACAGTAAAGATGAAGTTAGTCACAACTACATGGCAAGGAGTGTCATTTTTAAAGCAGATTAGTCCTAGGTAGAGGTTGCGTGAACATGAGATATAGGAGTTGTACAATCCAATCAAAGGTGATTACGATACCTGGTTGTGTGGCCTGAATGGCAAGAAGAGCAGTGCGAGCAGCTTTTATTTCTGCTTCTTTCTTGCTTTTGGCACAACCACCACTGTAGCTCACACCAGCAATTTCGACAGTTGATGAGAATACGAGTGAGTGCTCCTCTCCTTGCCGAACACTTTTGTACTGAGGTAGCGGATACCCATGCTTCTGGGCGAATTCTTGTAATAGATTCTTGCAGAGACCTGACTCATGCTGTACCACACCTACCACGAAGCTGACTTAGGTGTTGCAAATCCCATTATAAACATCTTAAGCATGCGACATGACCAGCATCTGAGCTATAGGTCTTCCTAATGTACAACAGGAAGACAGCCGAAAAGTCATGAACTAAATGCTTGTAATGGCTACAGCCATCTCCAAACATTTTCAAATATACCGTTAAGAAGACATTACAACCGCTGAGAGCAGATACTGTGTATTGTAGCTAAACCATCTGTAGCGTGTTTAATCCGAGGTAAACTAAGGACAAATCACATCCGAGCTAAAAAAAAACCACAACTAACAATCAACTTAGTAAGCATGTCTAGTAAACAACCTAACGCATTATCTGACGCACACGTGAATAAAGAATCTAGGCAAAGAACAACCCTAGACTACATGGAGGTTCCTAAGAAGGAATGGCACAGCAGAAGTACTTATGGCACATCCTTTACTGGTAGAACCGAAATGCGATCCCCATAGGCTTAACTAACCCGTTCAGCAATTAGACGTTCAGATTGAGGAACAATATGTCACAAGTGACGATAACGAGATTGAGAAACCAAGTTAACCAAAACGACAGAAAAACTTACCACTGGAACAACCTTAAACTGAGTTTTTTGAAGAAAATCTAGGGCAGCCTTCGCAGCAGCATGTTCCGCTGATCTAAGAGTTGGATAACCGGGTGCAGACTCATAGCCACGACCGTTCACCCATACGGTTGATTTGAACCGAGGTTCATGAGACGCTCCCTCCTTCACGTACTCATACGAGGGAGACATGAGGCCTTGCTTTTGGGCATACTCCTGTAATTGACTTTTATACATCGCGAAGTCTATTTTCTCTGCATCAGACAAAAAAGTCATTACTTGACATAACTTCAACTAAACAGCCCCAGAATCCCACTTCACAACGGCAGAGTACCAAACTAGCTTCATCTCCAACCATCTATTTTCTACCTTGGAAAACAACAGTAGAATCACCACATAGGTGCACTCGATTACATGAGCTACATGTAAATAGTCACTTTGACTCTGTTACACCTAGACAAAGTCTATTGAGATCAAATACCAAAAGGTCAATAAACATCCATGCCGAATTCCGCATTTCACAAAATTCAGCTCTACGCAAGCAAAAAAATTAGAAAATTAGAGAATTAAAAAAAACGATCACTAGCCGAAGCAGGAGCCTTCAGAGCGACAGAATAATTGAGTAAAAACAAACACATTGAAGCACCTTCTCTCTGAGCCTACACGAGCCTGGATTTCAGAAAAAGACAACGGGAACCAGAAATTCATATGAAAACCTTTGATAATGTCCACACCTCACTCACATTGCAACTCAAACAAAAACCAAACTGTCGGACCCGAGCGTAAACCCCCACACTTCCTCACGTCAAATTCTTCCAATTACATTTACACTTATTCTTCCCTTGCCGGGGAGATATTAATCCGGAAGGCGCTCCAATCTATTCATCTCTCGGAACACCTCCACCGGGCTCCAACCAAACTCACCGGCCAGGCGTCAACGCACCGGATTCAAACGCCTCTCTCAAAAGCTTCCAGCGATTGCTTGGAACGATAAAAGGAAGCAGCAGAAAAGCCAGAAGCTCGCTGCGAAAGAGGGACAGGCATCGCACTTACGTAGAAAGGAGGAGTCGGGAGTCCACGGGGCAACGGAACGCAACGCAAGCACTACATGAGGGAGGCACTTGAGGGCAGAGCAACAACAAGCAGCGGCAGAGCAGCAGTACTGACTAGGGTTTGGAGGCAGAGTGGCGAATCCTTCGGAGGAGTCTTTGAGCCTTTGGACCCACCAGGCCCGTCCCTTAAGTAGGGTCGCTTCCCCGTTCTGCCCGGCGTTCTTCGGACACGCGGACTGAAAAAAGTGAAAGTGTGATCCTCTCTTTGCCTCCAATGTGCATTATCGTTTTGGATTAAGAAAACAAAGTGAGTTCTTGTGTCATTACTTGTGTTACATAGTATGCTTTTGCTAATCAATGTTTGATATTTTAATATTAAAATACTCTTGTTTTATGATGCATTCAATGTGTCACAAAGTAAATATTGAATTGTTTTATACAAAACAAACTACTATTTGTTTTGTTTTGTTTTTTGTTTTCTGCATTCATTAAAATAATATATTTTTTTAGTAATTTTTTTCTCTATGTATTTTCCTCCTTCATCTACTTATGTTTTTCAATATTAGAAACCAATTTTGTACCACAATATATAAGATATCATTAAAAATAATATACAAAACTATATAGTAGATAAGGTAACTGAATTATTATACTAAAAACATTTTACATGTATTTTTATAGTGATTCATTGTTTAAAATATTTTCTTGGTTATTTTTACATAGAACTTGTATGTTTTAAATACAATTAATAGAATCTTTTAGTAATATAATATATTTTTAAAAGTATAAGATTGTTAATATTAATGTAGGATATTATTAATGCTTCTCTAGTTTTTGTGATTGCTACCACAACCAACTATCTATCACATACCACCCACATCTTTTGTGAATGCTAAACAAAAAAAATTTATTTTGGAGTTTTAATACATATTATTATTTTTATATATTATATTCGACTGTTACCTTTTTTTGTTTTTTATTTTGATGATATATAATATACCATAGTAATACTACTTATACAACAAATTCATATAAATCAGCTTTACTTCAATATAAATCAGCTTTACTTCAATACAAATCAGCCAAATATAAGACAATTAATATTTTAAAAACAATTCTAAGTGTATTTTTGGTTTTACTTCTAATTGGCTTCTAATAAATAAAATTGTTATATAATATCATTTCAAGATAAACTTAAATCATTAAAAAATAGAATAAATTTATAAAATTTTAGAACTAAAACATAATGTATCTATGTGTATAATTTCAATAAATATTAATAGAGCCTATTATATATATATATAAAAATTATGTTTAAATTATATAAAATCATTATTTAGAACTTGAAAAAATATTTATTAAGAATATTATTCTAAATATTTTAAAATATGTTTCAATAAAATTTGACTATTAACTAACAAACGATTAGTTATGAATAAACCAAAATTTTATATCTGCCTAAAAGGTATGAAATTAAAAATTTTCTTATTTTTTACATTAAAAAATATTATAAAGAAATTAAATTTAAAAATAAAAATCAGATAATAATAGAAATTTTAAAGAAATTAGAAACTTAAAACTTGTTGATGTTCACATGTTTTGAATTAATAATTTTACTAAAAAATGTCAAATATTTAATTTATACTTTGAATAAATATAGATTTATAATAATACATAGCTGAAATTAAATAATTTTATTAATCTATTAAATAATTTGGAACTTCTATTGCTTTTATATTAAAGTTGGTAATTTGAAAATTTCGACTTTATTGTTAAGATATTCATTTAAGTAATAATTCTATTATTTAAGTAAGATGTGTAAAACTAGAAAAATAAAAGTAAGAATTTAAAAGTCTTCTAGTTATACAATAGGAATTTTATTCAATTTATTAGTGTTGTGCTTTTAAACTAACCATTTTTACATTAAAAATGCTTATGCTAGTAATTATTTTTAACATTTTTATCATTTTTTAATTCTTGAATTTCAATGGTAATCTATTGATAATCTTAAAATCTTTATTTTTGAATAATATAAAATTCAATTAAATTTAGTTAAAGTCTAAACATACAAAAGAAAATATAGGCTTTTAAAAAACATAGATACAAATGCTTAGAAAATATCAATTTAAATCTTTTGATTCATTAAAAAAAAATTAAATTATCTAAAAACATATCTTTTGTAGTATGATTCATTTTCAATATTCCAAAAGTCTTACATAGTATATTATAAAATTATAAATTAAATAAATAAATAAATAAATATAATTATAATGATATATATATATATATAATAATCTAATAAAACATATATTTTTTTCATTCTATTTAAAAAGATTATAGGAAATTATAAAAGTTGATTTTATAAAATAATTTTGAATTGATGTGGTTTTAAAATAATTTTAAAATTACGAATATTTTATAATTGAATTAAATCACATATATGTATGTATTTATAAATCAATTCTAAATTAAAATAATATTTATTTAAATATAATATTTTAAATAATTAAGCTATATATATATATATATATATATATATACATACACATATATTATTATGATTTATTATTAATTTTTTATGGTAATACAATATATATATCTAATATAAGTCATAAATTAAACTTTTATATTTCATATTCTAATAAATTTTTAATTTTACCATACTTTAGTGTTTCTTAACATAATTTAGATTTATTTAAAGAAGCATTTGAATCTTGTTTTTGAAATAGTGAAAACTTCTTCTCTTTCTCTTTGACTAAAAAAATCAATTCATCTTAGACATCCTTCTTTTTGACGTCCTTCTCATCCACTTTCTACTTCTTTGTAGGAAAATCAGCTTGTCCTCCACCTCCACTTCTACACCTCCTTCTACCAAAAGACCACCTCCTCTACCTCCCACCTCCTTCTCCACCAAGATATCAAATCTTCTAATCTCTCATCTTCTATCTCTACTACCTCCACTACCATGTCTTATAAAACAAATCGGTCTAAGTGAAGTCTATAGAAGACAATCTAATCTTCAACATCTACTACCTCATATTAAAGTACAAGTTGGTACTTCACATTTATCACTTTATCTTGGAAGATAAGCTGGTCATCTACCTTCACCACTTCTTCCTTGAAGGCAATGTTGTATTTTGTGAAGTTTGCTTGAAATGCACTAGGCATCTGGTTGTGAAAGATAAAATAAAACTTGCAATAAGAAGATCCTAAAAACTCTAATAGAATCCTAAATAATATTTGATTAAATTATAATTATGTTAATCAATCTTTAATTAAATCTCAAAAGAAGTCCCATAGATCTTACAAAAAAAACATAAAAAATCATAAATTAATCTTAAAAGAATAGATATAATAAAAAAAATCCAAAAAAATCTCAAAAAAATCTTTAAAAAATATTAAAAATAGAAATCTTAAATGAATCTTAATCAAATCTTAATGTAATCTTCAACAAATCTTCATCAAATCCTAATAAAATTTTGATAAAATCCTAAATCAAATCTAATCAAATCTTAATTAAATTCTAATAAAATTCTAATTAAATCCTAATAAATTCCTAAATCTTAATCCTAGACCAAATTCTAATGAAATCCTAATGAAATCCTAATAAAATCCTAGACCACATCCTAATCAAATTCTAATCAAATCCTAATTAAATTCTAAATTCTATCTAAATTTCTAATAAAATTTTTAATCAATCTTAATTAAATTTTAATCAAATTTTATATTTTAATTAAATTCTAAAAAAATCATAATAAAATTTTAATCAAATTCTAAATTGTAATTAAATCTTAAATAAATCCTAAAAAATCTCAAGAAAATTCTAAATAAATATTAATCAATTAATATAACTATTTTTAAACCTAAATAAATATTAATTGAATTATTAATCTCAACTAAAATTTTATCCAAACTTTAATTCACAAGAAATTCACAATCATATAAAATTTGAGGAGAATCAAATTCACCAACTAAAAGAAAAGCTCCCAAAACCTTTCAAATATTGGCCACTCTCTTTCTCCAACCTGAATGTTGATCTTCCAAAAAATATTTCTCTTTGTTGAACAATTCAATTGTTTTAAAAATTGGTCCGTATTTCAATATTTAAGTCTGAATTGCTCTCAAAATTTTTTATTTTAATCAAACTAGCAAATATTACAAGATTGTAAAAGCCCTTGTTGACCCTAAATTTGAATTATTTGAGACCATAATCTATAAAAATTCTTATAACCTTCAATCTAACTACTCAATTGATATATAATTTTTCACACTCATTTACAACAAGAACAATGACAAATTAATAAATTTTTACATATAAATATACTACAATATTTATAAAATTATTAAATTTGTGATTTTAAAAATTTTATTTTTTAAAATCCAAATCCATTGAATACACCTCTCACTTTGAAAAGCTTTCAAAACCTTCATATATCTTCAAATTACATGAAATCAACTCTCAAAAATCCTTTCATAAGTTTGCTTTCAAATTCTATTCTTTAATCAACCAAAGAATCTTAGAAGTATCGTAGGTGCATGGTTTTGTGTCTCTAGATTTAGTTTTGATCTTGGTTCACAACTAATCTTCTTTCTGTATCAATTCTTCATATTTTGAGGTAATTTTTATTAAAAACTATTTTTAATCTTTTTTTAATATGCCTATATTAATTATTTATTTTATTTATTTTAATTTTGCTTATTTATATCTCTACAAAATAAATAGGAGTCTCTTTTATAAAAAGCAATATTAATACTTATTAATTTTTATCACTTCTTTGCCTATTATCTATATTTTAAAAATGATTTGCTAAAATAATTTTATTTAAGCTCTTCTATGATAAAGCATTTCTTTTTTATTTCTCTTTCACTTAATATTTGTATTATTATACAATAATGAGCTAGTTATTTACTTCTACTATCTTGTCTTTAAAGACAAGTCAGTCTTTCACCACTGCTATCACTTTATCTTTGTGGAAAATAAGTCCAATCTCTACATCTACTACATCTAACTTATCATTCTAGAAAATGAGCTAATTTTTAAGCTCAACTACCTTCTTTTAAAAAAAATATCAATTCTCAATTTCTACCATATCTTCCTTGAAAATAAGTTGGTTGTGTACATTGACCCCCTTATCTTCAAAGATATTACAATCTTCCACCACAATTTTTTCGTAGAAGATAAGTGGAATTTCTACTTCCACCTCCACCTCTACTATCTCATTTTAGAAGATAAGTTGGTTTTCTATCTCCTTGTCTAGAAAAATGTGCTAGTCTTTGATCTTAACCATTTTTTCTTAGAAAATAAGCCAATTCTCTACTTCTACTACTTCTTCCTAAAGAACAATCTAGTCTTGTACATTGACCATCTTATTGTAGATGATAAGTATGTCCTCAATTTCCACTACTTCTTCTTAGAGGACAAGCCAATGTTGTTTTATATAAAGCCTTGCTTGAGAATGCATTCATCACTTAATTATAGGAGGTAAATTGGAAATTATAATGACAAGATTCTAATGATTTTAATATAATCTTAAATAAATTTCAATTAGACCTTAATAATCCTTATCAAACTTTAATAAATTCCAAAAGAAGTATTAAATTTTTTGTAAAAGAAACATAAAAAAATCCTATTTTTTTTAAAGAAATCATTTAGAACTTTACAAAAACTTTAAAAAATATCAATAAATAAAATTCTAAATAAATCTTAAATAAATTCTAATAAAATCCTAAATAAATATTAATTAAATTCTAATAAAATCCTAATAAAATTCTTATCAAATTCTAATTTAATATAACTAAATTCTAATATAATTTTAAAAAAATTCTAACGAAATTTTAAATCCTAAATCAAATCCTAATGAAAATTTAATCAAACTTTAA